GAAGCTAAATACCAGGCTTTGGAGGACCTGACCCAAAGGAGCTGAAGGGATGAAGGTAGCCTGGGCTAAGGGATGAAGTCTCCTGGATGCCATAGTCTCATTTTCATAGAACTTCATTTTTTATTTCAAAATTTACAAAAAAAAGTAAATCTTACCCCTTTAGGCAGAAATTCTAAGGCAATTATCAGTACTGATAAATAAAATGACTGCTCTAGTCCCTTAAGAATAGGATAGGGAGGAAAGACTTGCATTTTTGTTTTATTTTAGCGATTTCCCTCAAGGCTTAGCACAATTGTTGAATATTTCTTTTTCTATCTCCTGGTCTCTCATTGATCAACTGCAGTGCTTACAGAATTCCAGAAGCTCTGAGAACTTGAAGAAAATAGGAAAAAGAAATAGGATCTCACTCTGTCACTAGAAATGATACTGTTTGCCTGCAATGGGAACTTAAGGGTTTCATTCACTTTTACCAAATCGCCCATCTTTTTCTTTAGTGGTCTTTCCCCGCACTTGAGAGTCATACCGCCAAAGACTATCATACCAATCCGAAGGGAAATTGCACGTCTTTGGTTTGTTAGCAGTGCAATATGGGGATGTAACAAGTTAGGGGAGAGGGCGAAAGTGGTCCACTCCTTCAGGGAGGAGGGTTTTATCCCTGACATTGTTTAGAATGACCAGCACGTGGTGGTGATAAAAAGCAGAACAACTTTGAGTTGTCATCATGATTGTCTTCAATTCTCTACAGACCCTGTTACCTGTACCCTGGGCAGGGCAGTCCCACCTCCCCAGCTCAGTGGCAGACCATTCATGCAATGCAACTTATTTGAACCTGAAGCTGTTTGTCTCTCTTTGATGAAAGAAAATAAAAGGAAGAATGGGACAGGTTTTAGCTGGCGTAGTATGGATCATAAGGAAAAATAGAGCTGAAGTAGACAAAAATAAAGAAGGTGCATTTATAAAAAGGAGTTTCCTTCAGTAACCATAGATATGTTTGACTTGGTACATGAACGACATCAGAGAGATCTGAAAGAACATCTAGCAACTTCGTGGATGTGTGGGTTCACAGAATACTTGCTAAACTAGGTTCCTTGGTCTGTTGGTTTGAAGAAACCTGGGAAGGCAGTATCTCTAGGCTCAGAAAAGCTGAGTATGTTTTCAGGAGGTAAAATGAGGAACTATTTTAAATGAAAGTGGCTGGAGAGAGATTAAGAAAGTTAATGCTAGGACATTTTCTTACTCCCTGTAACATGGTTTCTGAAAACAAATTGACTTTTCCTTTTTCTAAGGCTAATCAAGAAAAAAACAAAATGGTTTTTTTGTATTATATTTAAAATGAATATTTAAGCAGGCAGCAAGAAAGCCTTCTTCTGGCTTTGGACTAGAGATTTTCATTTCATAC